GCCGTGGAGCATCGAGTCGTCCACCGACGCCATCAGGAAGCCCGCCGGCCGCGGCCGCTTCAGCCCATGCAGGTCGCGCAGGTGGCACCTTTTGTCGGGGTCGGGGGCTGGGCTCGGGTCCGCTCGAGCGGCGTGCGAGGTCGCGCTGGCGCGCACCGCTCGAGGGCAGTCTGCGCGTCCCCCGCCGCTGCTCCGGCGGCGGGCGGCGCTCCGGCGCCGGCGAGCGCGCGGTGCGCGAAGAGGACGATGTCGACGAGGTCGGTGCACGAAAACACGTCCACGAACCGCTGCAGCGCCGAGTCCCACACGGGGAGGCTGCGGGGCGACAGGTGGGCGGTGGTCGCGCGGACTGGGACAGGGGCGCGGCGCGCGGCGCGCGTCTCGCGGTGGCGGCTCGCGTCCGCGTGCGGTGCGGGCGTGGATCGGCCGGGGTCGCGGGCGCGGAGAGCGCACCACGTTGCGCCGTGCGACGCGAGCGCCGCGAGCGCGTGCTTCATGGGCAGGTCGGCGTCGAGCGTGACCACCTTGCCGTGGGTGGGCAGCAGCTCGAAGATCTCGTGCTGCTCCAGGATGTGAGCGTCCATCGTGTTCTCGACGTCTCGAGGTGGATATCCTCTGGCCGCGTTGGCAGGCGAGGATAGGTGGAGGCACTCCGGCGTCAAATCGAGAAACCCGGTGTTGTGCTCTGACCTTATCCGACTGTCGTGTCCCTTGTCAGGAGCAGGAGAGCCCACCTGTCCCCCTGATCGTCCTTCCAAAATCCTGCTCGTGCAGGTGTGGACCCTGTCCTCCTCCCCCATCCCTCGTCTGGGTTTGTCTGTTTTCTTTCTTTCTTTTTCCGACTGTCGTGTCCCTTGTCAGGAGCAGGAGAGCCCACCTGTCCCCCTGATCGTCCTTCCAAAATCCTGCTCGTGCAGGTGTGGACCCTGTCCTCCTCCCCTCTGCGACGCACGACCACACAGAGGCACAGTGCGTATGTATGTGTATGTATGTGTGTATGTAGGAAGGTGAAGAACAGTCTCAGGCCGCTCGGACTGGACACCAGCGCGGTATATGGGAGGTGGACGCGAGACAGATGATGACGACACGCTCGAGCGACACACAGAGACACAAACAAGCTCACAAGACACACAGCCAGCGGGCTGCCACACACCCTGAGTAGGTTACACATCACTCAGGGCCACGTCCCCCCTGTCGCCCCCCCCCAGCACTCCAAGGTGCCAAGGGCACAAACAACAGCACAACAACACAGACAAGGCGACAGGGGCGAACGTGTGGGACTAGAGCCGGCTTGCTCCGCCTCTAGCAATCTAGCCGGCCGCAAGGCCGGACAAGACCGTGTGTGGGGTCTTGTGAGGTGTCTATGGACGCTCCCTCACAGGCAGCGGCCAGCCGCTAGCCCTAACTCGCACTCATGGGTGATGACAATTCATTGGATGAGTGTTCGCGAGCAGAAGCGCGTGTGCTGAATCTAGATCGCACGCCGTGGCATATGACTTGGGTAGGCGTGCGACCGCAGCGCGCCCGCCGTAAGCTCGACGGGGCGCGCATGCCAGCTAGAAGTTTGCCACTATCCTGGTCTTACCGAAGAGGAGCCCCGCCCCCCGCGCCACGGGTGCCAAAAAGAAAGAAAGAAACAAGACAAGCCAAACGAGGGAGAGGGGAGGAGCGCCGTGCCTTCGTCGGATTCGGCCTAGCCAGCGCAGCGCGAACTCGCCGTCTCTCTGAGCCTAGCGCAGCGCGAACTCGCTCTGAGCCTAGCGCAGCGCGAACTCGCTCTGAGCCTAGCGCAGCGCGAACTCGCTCTGAGCCTAGCGCAGCGCGAACCCTCGCACACAAAAGCTTTTGCGCAGCAACCCGCGGCCGAGCAAAAATGGCGAGAGGGCGTGCGCGTAGTCCGCCTTCTTGTATCGCGGGGGAGGCAGCGGCGGAGGGGGGGAGCGAAGAAAGGGATGGTATGTAAATAGCTTCAAGGAAGGACCAAGCGCACCAGCGACACAAGGGACCGTTGTACTAATCACAATCCGCCCACAGGGGCTGCCCGGGGCTGGGAATGGGGAATCGGCTACGGACCCCCCGGCCCCCGATCCCCGCCCCGGAGCGGGGACCGCGGACGGCCGACCCCGCGCCCGTCGTGCGTCGAATTCTCATCGGGACGCGGGGGCTCTCTCGGCTACGGACGGCCTACGGGACCGGCCCCAGCTTCGGCTGAGGGCTGAGGTAGAGCCCGACCGACAAGCTTGCCGAGCCTGACCTCCCGAAGGCGATGCGCGAACCGCGAAGGAGCGGTGTCGGTGGGGTCCTCCCCCCGGCGGCCCACGCACGCGGTCCGAGGCTAGCGCGGCGCGAACTCGCTCTGAGCCTAGCGCAGCGCGAGATTTGCGCAGCAACCCGCCACGTAGGTGCGACGTGCCCGCCGAAAATCGGTTCAAACGACGTTCACAGCGCCAATTTGGCCCCAGCTCTTCGGCTCGCTCCGCTCGCCGGCGAGTTGGTTGGTTGCTGGCAGCACCCCAGCACCGGGGGGTCCTGAGAGCTGTTGGTTGGTGCTCTGTTGACTGTTCACAGCACAGTGCGAAACTAGGGTTGCAACCTGGTAAAGAACTCGCTCGCTGGCTCGGGCCCGGCGTCAGAAAAAAATGGCGCTGCTGCAGCAAATTTCGTTCGGGTAATCGGCAAGAATCTCAAAACCGGGTAATCTGAAATGTATCCAATTCTTTTTGAGGCGCCCGTCGATAACAAAAATGGGCGCGTCGCCGTTCTCCAACTCCGCGCGCTCTATGACGATGCTCAATCGCCTGCGCATCGCGCTTGATGTCGTGCTCGTTATTTAACCAGGATGAGAGCAGCCGAGGTCTGTTCTGCAGCGCCACGGCGCCACAAACTCGGTGCACGCGAGGCTCGCGGCACGCCGCGTGTCATTCCAAAAGGGCAGACCGGTTTGCGTCGATTGCTGGAGAATCCGGAGCGGTTCGCCCTTGTAGCACGCGCAGGCAGCTCGGACGAGTTCGATGCTCGGCATGACAGTGAGGTTTCCGCGCCGCGTCGCCGCCGAGATGGGGCTCGAGGCGAGCGCCCCGGGCCGTGTGAGGATGCTGCTGGGCCTGAGGCGGAAGTTGCTGAAGTGGAGGCACTGCTGGGCACCGTTGTGATGCACCAGGTGGAGCTCGAGCCTACTCGCAGGCGGCGTGTGAAGAGACGATATTTGAGGAGGGAGCGCATGGAAAGAAAATCGAACCTGTCAACGGGCAGCACCGCCCTGCGCTGACCTCTCAGCCAGAGCCCCGCATTCTCCTCGCGGACGAAGAGCAGCGAGCCGTCATCGCGCCGGTTGGATGTTTGCTGATTTTCAAGCCACCACGGCACAGCCTGCCCGCTTCTGTGCTTGGCCCGCGCTGCCGCTTCAGCCTGCGCAATGGACTCCTTCAGCTGCGACGCCGACAGGAAATAGGTCGCCGCGTATGGCTGGTAGAACTGCACGTATCTTCGGCCTCCGACGGTCTCAACGCGCGAGATCTGTGGCCTGTGTCCGCCGAGACTCTCGAGATCGCTCAGGTACATACATGTACGGTTCGATCTCTCGTCATGAAGTGGAATGTGGCGCTTCAGCGATGCCAGCAGGTCCCTCCTTCCGTGCTTGGACCGGGCTTGTGTACGGCATGGAGAGGGGCCACTTGAACGCGGGGATGCTCATTTGGTTTCCGGGTCCTTGGCTCGCGTCATGGCGCAGCTGCCTCGCCGGCGGTGCCGGCTGGTACGACACGCTGAACCGGACGGACAAACGCCACTTTCGCCAGTACATTGCGAGGCCTGAGCAGAATATGATGACACGGATGTGCGCCGAAGCGGGACAGCAGGGGCCCTCAGCGGAGCTGGGAATAGGACCGCCGCAAGCGGCGTGGCGTGGAGCGGTTGAGCATCCCTCCGGGGGCCCCTCTGCGCCGGGGAGGCGTTGTTGGAGGCTAGGACACAAGCGTCCGTCGCCCTTTTCAAACTCGGGGCCCACTCCGCTACGCTCCGACCGACCCGAATTTGGAGGGCCTAAAAGTTTAAGGTGTTGCTGCGCAAAAGGGGTCGGACACAGGGCGCAGCTCATGCTAAGAGCTAGAAGGGGAGCTAGAGAGAACGACTACCCTGTCCCGTTTATTGCGTATACACCAACACCACAAAAGCTCTCTCTCTCCTGTCCTCACTCAGAGCACAGAGGGGGGTCACAACTACCGAGTCTCTCGACTAGCTGCCACGTTGCCGACCGAGAGCGGATCTCCTCCTGCTCCGCAAGGAGGGTGGCCAAGGCTAAAGTCTTGTCGGAGCCGCCGGGCGTGTTGACGACTTGGAGAAGGTCGCCCTTGTGCTTGTGCTTGTAGAGATGCTCGAGGGGGTGCTTTGTGGGGCGGTGCGCAGCCAGGCCAGCAGTGAGGGGAGGCGCACCCTCACTCTCCTCGGTTGCAGAGCTCGTCGGAGGCTGCGTCACGACGGGAGGGTCGCGACAGCAGTCCTCGGGCGAGCCGACGCGCATGTCCAACCAGCGCTGAGACTCGTTGTGACGGCAGACGCCGGCTGCCTCTCCAACCGCTTCTGCAGCGTCCTTCTTTGCCCGTGCATGGGCTCGATCCGATTCCGCAGCGTGTCGTCCCCAGAGCTCCCCGATCCACGCTAGTACTGCTAGTTAGTTAGTGCGGCGACGCAGAGAATCTATGTCCTTCCTTCCTGCCGGTCGGGTGCTCCTCTCGGTACTCGGAGACGGAGTTTGAGTGGAGGACTTGAAGGATGGCCATGGCAGTATCGCGCAGTATTTTCACCGCAATACTCGGAGCCGGCGCATCGGATACTGGGATACTGCAGGATACTGCGGGATACTGCTGGATACTGCTGGATACTGGCAATTCATGGAAGTGCGCCCGAATATGGAGAATTTTTCTTCTCCTTCCTCAAAGGGTTTGCCCCCCGAAACTAAAGAAAGAAAGAAAGAAAACAGACAACCCAAGGGAGGGATGGGAGAACGGCACGCCGCCACCACACAGGGATTTTAATCCCCCCGAAACTGGGCCGACCACTGATCGGGGCCCTTTTCTTTCTCTTTCGTCAAAGGCTTCGGTCCTGTGCCCGCTCCAGGTTTCGCTTGTCGGGCTTCTTCCTGTGTGCTCGCTAACCTCGCATGTCATCGCACGTCCAAAGGATCGGCCACTACCGGCTGGGGAAGAACCTCGGCATCGGGTCCTTTGGCAAAGTTCGACGTGCGCCGTGCCCTGCGCGCGCGAGTCGATCCCCACAGGCCAAAACATTGTGTGTGGTGGCCGGCAGAGAGGTCGGCAGGGGGGGAGAGGCGGGAAAGATAGGGAGGGTCGGTATCCGCTGCCGTCACCGCCGCGCCGAGGGCCTGCCTCCGCGCGCCTCACACCATCGCCGCCGCCCCTCCCGCGCTTTTGCAGTGGCCGAGCACCAGCTGACCGGCAAGAAGGTTGCGGTCAAGATCCTGAACCGGAACCGGATCCGGCAGTTGGACATGGACGAGAAGGTGCGCCGCGAGATCAAGATCCTCAAGCTCTTCTACCACCCCCACATCATCCGCCTCTACGAGATCATCTACACTCCGACAGACATCTACATGGTCCGCTGCCCCGCGCCTCCTTCAAGCCCTCTACCCCTCCCCTCCTCCCGCTCGTCCCGTCCCCCGGCCGCGTACGCACGGCGCCCTCGCCTACTCGCGGGCTGGCCGCCGCCGCGGCTGAGGCTGCGTCGGCCGCGGCGGCTGCGGTGGCGGCGTTTGCCCCTCTCCCGCCTCCCCGCCTAGCTCCTCTCCCCGCCTAGCTGCGCTCGAGAGCGAGCGGGTGCGGTGCGATGCGTCGCTCGTGGCGGCAGGTGATGGAGTACGTGCCCGGCGGAGAGCTCTTCGAC